TGGAACAGTTATGAATGTTACACACAAAAAGCCAGTGTGCAAATCACAACTACATGTACATGTGTACCGGTATATGTGTGCATGAGTACATAGAACCAAGAGTACATAATTATGTACTCTTGATAGAACCCATTTCAAGTTTTAAGCAATGCATAAACATGCACACACCACTTCAATACTGACACCAAGGTATAATGTAACTACGTGAACTATATTCCTATTCTATCACTTTCAATATCGGCAAGATAAAATTATCATTTTGATTGAAAGAACAAACCAAATTTATGCAGTACACAAAATACAATCACCCAACAGTCTTAACAAGATCACAGCACAGGTACTGCATGCTCATTATGTAAAGATCAGTTTGATGTATAAGAATAAAATAGCATTGACAAAAAAATCTCATCGAATCGAAATTGACACATAACAAAAGGCCTTTCATATAATGCACAATATAACCTCAACATGCATACTCATAATTACTGATACATAAGGAGAGCCAACACATTCTTTCATAGTCAAAACAGTAAAGTTGTGCTGAATTTTATACATGGTGCAACTAATGAAGAATAATTCTAATATTCACAGTACTTAGTATCAGATTGGCTGCTTATTAATCATTTAAAAATTGTAATTTGGTATAATGTACATGTACTATAACGCTGTCACTGACTGATAATACACAACATACATGTACATGCATGAGACTGACCACAGACAGATTGGGTTATTGCAAGTGGCGCCAGCTTCGAGTAAGGACTGCCTTGAAGGATAGGTTAATTCCCACCATGATATAACTCATGGTTTATAAGAAACAGCTGCAACAAATACTTTCACTAATAATACTTGGAAGAATGCATATATAGGCTAGGTACTCCCATGCATACAATTACAATAGAGTATACTACATGGTTGCAATGACCTGTCAAACAGGAGACCTATACATATACGTACATGTAATTCAATAAAATGGGTGTGAAAAGGTGAGGCTATCCAGTGGTTAAACTTACACTGTGACCTCAAATGCAAGCAATATGGAGGCTGAAGCACCTATTAGTCATACAATCTTGCTCATTGGTGAAACTGGATCTGGCAAAACATCTTTCCTGAATCTCCTCTGCAACTATGGGATCATTCAAGAGTTAGGGATAAATACAGGAATCCAGCACTTTCACTCATTTAATGAGATAAAACTAGAAAATGTTAATTGTGATAAAATGCAGAGCAAGACCAGTGATGCATTGAAGTATACTGTATCACTGGGGGACACCAACCTTGAAATAATCGACACACCAGGCTTTGGTGACTCAAGGGGAATAAAGGAAGATAAGAATCACGTTAAACGAATCATTGATGCTCTTAAAAAAGAAGATTATGTCAATTGTGTTTGCCTTATCATCAATGGAAGATCCTCCCGTATGAGTGCTACACTTAGTTATGTTCTAAGTGAGATAACGTCTATTCTTCCCAAGACAATACTGAATAATATCATTGTGGTATTCACCAATACCACTGGTTTACTACAATTAAGCTTTGACTTGGGAGCACTGAAGCATTACTTTGGTCGAAACTTGGAGCACAGCTACTGCATTGAAAATCCGTACTGCCTCTTTGAGAAAGCTAACGAAAAGAAAGGTTTAATGTCCAAAGAGCTACTAGCTGAGAGCTTAAAAGACGAATTTGAGAGAACAGCAAAGACATTGAATAAACTCTTTGCTACAATGAAATCCTTTGAGCTGGTCCAGACAAATGATTTCCTAGAGCTCTATAAAAAAAAGGAAAAAATTGAAGAAACTATAACACTAGCTCTTGCAAAGTATGACACTCAATCAGAACTTAAAGCTGAAATAGAGGAAACTTCAAAAAAAATTGGTGATGCCATTAGCGAGAGCGAATATAATGAAAAATTTAAGGAGCTTCAATCTACTATGAAAAAAGAACCGCAAGGCACAAATTATCACAATACAATATGCAGTGCACCTCGTTGCTTTTCAAACTGCCATGAACATTGCAGTATACCTCCAATATTTGAAGAATATAAATTCAAATATTGTGCATGCATAGATGGAGATTACTGCACAGTGTGTGGTCATCATTATGCCATGCACAAACATTTGTACTTCAAGTATGTAGATGTGAAACATACATGGTGGGAAACTAATCCACTAAAGGAGAAGAGGTTCAGAGAAGCAAAAAATGCTGAAGAAAGGGCAAGGTTACTGAAGAAGGAGCTTGAAGAAGAGCGTGATGCTATTATTAAAGAGAAAGAGAAGCTTTTTGACATACTTATTCAGGCAATCGAGGAGTTTCAAGCTTTGGGCATTAATCGTAGCTTCATGAAAGTTTTACAGAGTCAAGTCTCTATCATTGAGCATCATTTGGAAGGGAATGTGGATACAGACCCTAACAGCAGTGGAGCTGAGAAGTTAGAAGAAAGTAAAAGAGAATTGACAAAGAAGATTAAAATTGTTAAGGAAGCTAATAAGTAACTTTAAATGATTAACTGTTGTACAGTAAACTATCTAGCTAAAATAATAATAATAATAGTGTGTTAACTTTGAAATGCATGCACTAACATTAATTTGCTACTATCAATGACTATTTTCATTATGAGTATACACTACTACTGACCATAGTCAGACAAGGTTATTGTAAGTGGCGCCAGTGGGTAAGGAGTGTCTTATGACAATGGGATGGGTATAATCCCTTCTATCTACTATTCCATAATATATGGTTATGAAGAAACTGCCATAATCAATGCATAATAATTACCTTCATGTTTCATACTTGGGAAGTTAAACCAGTCCATACAAAATGATATGATGTGAAACCTGGAACAGTTATGAATGTTACACACAAAAAGCCAGTGTGCAAATCACAACTACATGTACATGTGTACCGGTATATGTGTGCATGAGTACATAGAACCAAGAGTACATAATTATGTACTCTTGATAGAACCCATTTCAAGTTTTAAGCAATGCATAAACATGCACACACCACTTCAATACTGACACC